ACTTTGCCAAGCACAAACAGACCAAAGGCAGACTTTTGGTTCCTTCCAAATGGTACGCTATTACATGGCTTTTTAATCCTTGTTCCTTTAAAAGTCACTCTTTACCTCATTCAGTCTCTTTCTAAAAGTAATTGTGAAGGAACAGGAGAACAATTTCAAAATCTCAGGCAAAGAACAAAAGATAATAAATATTATCCAATACAGATGCTTATCTATATATCAGTACATTACTAAGTTATATTCTAACCTAATAATGAACAGACTTGTAATAGTGTTTAGTTAATGCAGTAATTTGAATTTAGGTTTACCAAAGCAAAACACTAGAATTGCCTTTGAGGAAGATCTCTGTGTATCATTGATTCCCACCCCTCCTCCCACCCCACAATATCCTCTTGCAGCTCCCTGATTGACTTTATACAAGTTGGACCTCTCTGGTCCAGCACTCTCGAGACCTGACCAGTCCTGTATGAAGGAATTTGCCAGATATAGGGAGATCTCCTGCCACTGGCCTCCCAGAATACTGCCCCTCCCTCTGGCTGGCTCTGCTCCAGCCCCACTGTCAGTGGGCTCCATCCCTGCTGCTACAGGGCTTGGGCTCAGCATGCTGCCGCCAGCCAGCTGGAGCTCTCCAGGGACGGAACTCCCCAGCCACCACAGACACGCTTCTGCCCCACCCAGCCAAGGCTTCTTGGCAACACCACGGCCCTGCTTCTGTCCTGCCCAGGGCTTCCCAGGGACTAGGCACTGTGGCTACCCTGCTGCTACCATGTAGGAGTGGGACTTTATATTTATATTTTAGGTTTAATAATGTAGTAATGTAGGATTTAATTTCATCCTGCCAGCCACCCTCTCTAGGTCCTTTAGTTAAATATACATTTCTTTGTTTTAAGGTTTAGTAAGTAAAAGACAGGATCTTGTATTGTGTCTATGTTAATAAGATTAGAAGAATATTGAAGGCCCAGACCACAATGTGAACTGTTTTGATTACAAGATTTAGTAAGGTTTAATTTATAATGCTTTTTTGTTGCTCAATATAAAACACTGCTGTTTGTTCACCTTTGAAGGTCTCTATAAAAGACTGTGTGAATGAGAGGTGTATGTATCAAAAAGAGATACGTGTGAAGGTGATTGTTAAAACCAGGTGGTCAAGAGAGGAGGGGCGAAGAAACTTATCGACGCCAGCGAACCAACAGCACGTATTCATGATTAAGGAGGGGGCAGATTGACGACTCTAAGGTGGAGCTGACACCCCTAAAGACAATTGATTAACTCAATCCAGGACAGGATGACCCTCTCGAAGGTGTTCTGGAATGATAACATCAAAAGATAACACCAATCAAGGAGTAACCGGTCACAAACAGACACAGAAAAATCCATAGACTTCAACAGAGAAAAGAGGATTATAAGAGCAGGGTGCTTTGCCATGAGACTTTGGGTTCGTCTTGCTACCAACTCCAGAAGCATCGGATCGTGACCGACAGAGCCCGGCTCCCCTCTGCAATCAATCTGGCTGGCCACTAGATTGATCCAGACTCTGGACTGGTAACTATAGCATCGACTGGCGGGACTGCATGCATGGTGTGTGTGAGAGAGACTGAAAAGCATATGCTAACTGCTGTATTCTCAATAAATGCGGCGTACTGCCTTCTCCCCAATAAAGATCTCTTGTGCTTTGTGTGGGCATAACAACCACGCCCCAACTGGGCTTTCCAGGGATGGGGCTCACCAGCTGCTGGTGGTCTCACTGCTGTGGAACGCCACCAGGGTTCCCCTGGGATGGGGCTCTGCAGCTGCCCTGCTGCTAGCACACTGGGATGGGGCTCCACAGAGACAGGGCTCACCAGTCCCATTGCTGCCCCACCCAGCCAAGGCTCCCCTGACCGGGGCTCTCTGGGGACAGGGCTCACCTGTCTGATGGGGGGCTCCCCTACACCGGACTCCCTGACGGTTTGTATTTCTGGGAGCCAAGGCTCTCTCATCCAGCAACATCTGTGATCCTGCCAGACCAGAGATATGGCCAGACCAGAGAGTCCTGGATTTAAGAGGTTCAACCTGTATTTACAGATTGAAGCAAAATAATTCTGATACTGGTGACAGACAGAAGAAATGGAGAAAGCTCTACAGTGGTATTGTTACCAGGAGACAGACAGAGAGCATTTCTTATGCCACCATCCAACACGAGAGTAACAAGGGCCCAGTTCCTGCTCACTGTAACGGTGTCAATTAAGTTTCTTGAACAAGTGGTGATCCTACAGTGCAAGGGAGCCTGGACTATCCTGCCTTGATAATAAACGGTGATGTCTGCCATGTCCAAAATGCAGATCTCCAAAAGCAAAATCCAGGTCTGTCTCAAGTCCGGTGTACATAAGCACGTATGCATGGCTTGGGAGGGAGAAGCTGTGAAATGAAGGAATGTTTTGAACAACAATGCAGATTAAGCATGGTACGCGAGACCACATCAAGAACACACGACAAGCAACCTTGTACTG